TTTTTTTTTTTTTTTTTTTTGGGTTGATAACACACATACGAACATGATGGACCTTGCTCCACTACACCAACAACACTCTACATATATCTGGAGCTCGTAATTGTCCCAATACATTCAAAAGTGTTGACCTCCTCCTGATGAACCTGGTCTAGAAAGGCGTCGAGTGCATGGAGAGTGAGCAGTGGAGCGAGGTCCATTGTCTTTTCCACAGATTGGTGGAAAAAAGGTTTGGTTTGATGATCTTTTTGAGAACATACACGCACCGCCGCACAGACTCACAGAGTGTCCGACGAAACAGTTTGACACAGTCTGATTTTTTTCTGTGAGAGTTGTCCATAGCGACCATATAGAGAACATAACCCTGCACGCCAAAGAGGGAAAATCGGAAGATCTCTCTCAGCCCCCCCCCTACGCCTTCCCCTAGCCCCCCCCTCTCTCCTAATGGCACCCTGTCCTAGAACTTGGACCATCTTGGAAGCACTTTTTTTTTTTTTTTTTTTTTAGCACAGTTCTTTCCCCCAGAACCTGTGTGCCTAATTGCTGTGGTGCGATGACCCCGACAATGTTTTGCTTAGCATGTGATCGCCATTCCCTTTGTCTCAAGAGAATGGGCCTCGACCCACTAGACAACACTCTGCAATGTCTGCATGTATCTTGAGCTCATAATTGTCTCGATACGATTGAAATGTTGGGACTCCTTCGAATGCACCTGGTCGACAAAGGCGTACAAATGCATGTACATTTTTTAGTAGTGTAGTGAGGCCCAGTGTATTGTTTACAGTATGAACCGACCAAGTTTGTGTTGGCATGCTACTGGTGGTTGATCGTCTCTTCTTTGCTCGTCGGCGTCACTCACTCCTATCGCATGCCCAAACAATCTCAAGGAGGGCTAGAGTTACAGTATATATGCAGATTTGTAATCGCCATGCCTCTGTGTTCCTAGCGACCACATCTTCACCCGAATAGAACGCCCGGACATTATCGCCGTACTTGGTACAATTTCCAGTCCAGACACCTGACCTTTAATGACCGGACGTTCTATTCGGCCGAGGCCGGTAGCATGTGGAAATCATGTTTTTTTTGCACTGCTTGCTGGCGGCACTTTGTTACAAACAGTGTCAGATGCTGTGAGGATTATTAGAAGCGTGTTTTTCTGAACACCACCTGAGTTCTACTCTTGTCATCTTCGCCGTGCATAGCTCTTTTTTTTTTCTTTTTTTTTTTTTCAAACAAGAGGCTACATCTATTGGTGGGGAGTGTCACTTGCTGCTCCACTTTTCAATATTTTTTTCTTTTTTTTTCTTGATCCTCTTCCCTTCTGTTTCGGTGATGATAAGATTTGTGGTGATGCTGAAAATACCTTTCAATGGTGTACACGCACGGCGCCATGGCCTCAGCGATTGCGTATAACTGACGTCACCGGTGACTCGTGTTGACTTTGACCATTGCACTGTCTAGCGAGACCCCAACTAAAATTAAAACAAGCACTGTTCTGTCAGCAGGAAACCAAGAGTACGGCCTCTAGCACCCCCCTAGCCGCTGACCAAGCTGTTTGTGATGCAGTGCATCTCTCATGTGTTTCAATAAACCACCAGTACCTCCGAGCCCCTTTTTCTCATGGTGGATTTCCATAGTGTTCGTGCGCACGGGGCACTGTTCTGTCAGCAGGAAACGAAGAGTATGGCCTCTAGCACCCCCTAGCCTCTGACCGAGCTGTTTGTGATGCAGTGCATCTCTCACGTGTTTCATTAAACTACCAGTACCTCGGAGCCCCTTTTTCTCATGGTCGATTTCCATAGTGTTCGCGCGCACGGGGAAAAAAAAAAGACACAGAAACGAACTGCCACGAACGTGTTTTTGTTTTTTGCCCGGCGATCGGCAAGTCGTTTTGGCCCGGTAGCACTGCTCATCTGTAAATCCTGCAGTGCATACGATCGCAAAAGTTTGCCTGGGAGAGGTACTCGTGGTTTAATGAGACGGGAAAAGGAGGAGCAAACTCACACACTCTCTTTAAACCGCCAGTACCCTTTCCATGTGCCGGCAGCGGGCTCTGTGCGCCAAGCATGTGGGATGTATGTGGCCAGTGTGCGTGCCCGGGGGCAGCCTCCGTGTTAACCGGCGGGCAATTTGTTTTTGCCTGGGAAAGGTACTGGCGGTTGAAGTCTACTCCCTCCAGTCTAATTGGCATGCGTCCGGACAGATTGATGGTACGATACTTTTTCTCCACTCGTCGTCCTTCTCCTCCTCTCCTCCCTTTCCCTCGTACTCCCTACTCCTGTTCATTCTCTCTGGACATACGTTTCGTAGGAGAATATTCATTGCTGTGTTTTGAAGTCACCTGGTAGCCGACCAAAAAGTAAAAGAGGAATACAAACTATCGTGTTCCCCAAACTAGAAGGTACGGTAATGATCGCTCAATCTAGACTGGATTCGGGCAACTAGAAGGCACAGTAATGATCGCTGAATCTAGACAGAAAATATTCCGAAATACAGCTATACTGACTGTACGGTAGTGCAAGGGCGTGCAATGTGAACACATGTGGGCACTTCCTGCTCGAGTACACTGGAACGAAGAGCCTTGCGCGCAACGTACGGGCTAAAGTGGCAGGACCTATTGGTGGTATGTTCAAGCTTAAGCAGCATGCACGTGACTGTAATAGTGGCGAGGTTCATTCTTTTCTAGCATGAACGTAGCACCAGTGTGGCCTGACCCTCATGGGTTCAATAAACAATTGGTACTGTCAACTCTATAACATAAAATTAAACCAGCAACGATGGACAGCCTCTGGCCAGGCGCCATTGGGTCTATGTTCATGCTTGGTGGAAGCACGGATGTGGCTGTAATAATGCCCAGGTTCCTACTTCCCGAGCATGAAGCTAGCAAGCAGTGGGGTCTGGCCTTTAACTCTCCTAATCTATATCGACCAGCTTCGCAATGGAAATCTGCTGTGGAATGATGGTGAACCTTTTTCTCAGCCCACGACCCCCTTTGTTTCGGGGAGTTCGAGTGGCTAGTGCCACCACACCTGCTGGCAGGTTTTCCTTCGTTTGTTTTCTTTATACGTATGCAGCGTTGGTAGGATTGTAATTTGAAAATGATGTCGTTATCGATTGTTCCGTATTGGTTCACCTGATTCAGGACTTGGGCACCTTTTCCCATGTTGAGGGACACAGGAGGAATTTGAAAATTTTCCCGACCATTTCCGGATTTACCCTTGGACAGGGGTCGTGCTAATCTTCTCTGTTTCGT